GAAGAGCAGAGAGACCTGAGCTGGGCTGCTGCCCAGAAGCCAGTCTATAAAGGATACTGCACTCGGGGGCTCCAAAACGTCACTCTAATCTTTATTTACCTGAGTTCTTCTTGGAAGGATGCGGCTAAAAAGAACTACTTTGGTAAGTCACTTGGGGTGGGATAAAACCTTCTCACCCCACTAAATGCATGCTTAGATGGCCTGTGGACTGCTGCCTAAGAAGTTAGGGTCTGGGAAAAGCAGGGTCTTTGTTTCCTGGAACACCACTCCAGACATCCTTTTTCTCTGCCTTTCCACTTAAATAAACGTTGAATAAATTTTTCAAGAATACTGTTTTGAAGGGAACCAAATTACTAGTTGGAACAGAGCACCCAATTATTAGCCTATTAAAGGCGTCCACATGTTATCAGCCCCTTGTATTACCAAATTGAGTAAAAACGAATCTAACAGTAACCAGAGCCAGACAGTCCTACGACCTCTCTCTCTGATAGTCTCAGATGATCCAAGGGCACAATTTAGACGATCAGCCTACCCTTCAGGCAACCATCCAGGGACATTATTTCCCTTAACTGATAAGAATAGGGCAGCAAAGAGTTTGGAGTTACATTTTTTTGGTGAATGACTATTCTTTGTGCTGATCACAGACAGATTCACGTGCCTGATACTTAGTGAATCAACTGAGAGGCGGGCAGGGTTGACATTTTCTTATTAAAAGCAAGGAACCCAACCAGGACTAACGAACCACATTTACCTAGAGATGGACCGAGGGAGTCCTTGTGAACAGTGCTAAGATTTTCCCTAGAAAACACCTCTGGGCCTATTTTTACAAGGGTAATTGAAGCTTAAAATTCATCATCATGAGGGGGTTGCAAAAGTTTTAACCTAAAAATATTTCAAACCAGGAGTTGGGAATCATCAACCCTAGATAAATAGGGGAAAACTATCTGCAAACTAATTTTAATCACTGTAACTTCCTAGAGAATATCTAACATAAATCGGCTTTTTCCTGTTTCTTTCATAGGCTCACATTGCTTCTGGATCTTCTTAATTATCCATATTCTCTAAGTGAGCGTTCCGTCCTTGGGTCCCTTAACACTACAACCTGGAGAGATCTCATCCAAATTCACTGCCCTACTCTGCCATTTGTTTGGTGACGACACCCAATCTGTATCTCTACACTGACCTTTTTGTGGGCTAATAGACCTGTATTACCCGTACATTCCTGGATATCTTTCCTGAAGGTCTCTCAGATGCCTTAAGGTTACAGATAGAATTCATCATTTCCGCTGAACCTCCATTCCCCATCCTCCTGACAACCTCTCCAGAAACCTGGGAGGTAATTAGGATTCCTTCCTTTCCCGCTCTGTCCACACCAATCTCTGTACCTCACTAATTTCATATCTAAATAGGTCTTGAGTTTTTTCCTTTTTTTTTTTTTTTTTTTATGCATTATGCGTGCCTCTCACTGTTGTGGCCTCTCCCGTTGTGGAGCACAGGCTCGGGACGCGCAGGCTCAGCGGCCATGGCTCACGGGCCCAGCCGCTCCGCGGCATGTGGGATCTTCCCGAACCGGGGCACGAACCCGTGTCCCCTGCATCGGCAGGCGGACTCTCAACGACTGCGCCACCAGGGAAGCCCAGTTTTTTCCTTTTTATACATGGTACCTGCCTCATCATTTCTCCACTAGGCGATTGCAAGTCTCTTGTCACACACATTGGTCTTGCTCTTCTCCAAACTATCCTCCACACTAAAGTCAGAGTTAAAAATTTTTTTTTTCTAACAGTTAATTTTTTCAACTCTGTAATATATGCATAAAGTTTAAAACCAAAACGTTACAAAAGAGTACATAGGGAAAAGTCTGCACTTGGCACCTGACTCTCAGTTACCCAGTTTGCCTTCCCAAATGCACCCATAGCTATCAATTCCCTTGGTAAAGATTGTGTTTCTAAAAGGCATCTACTTCACATCTTCCCATGGCTCACCACTGTCTATAAGAAAATGGTGAAATTGAGAAGCCCATATGAGGCCTCTCAGGGTTTTGTCCTGTTTCTCTCTCATTTCTTCTAGTCAGTCCCTCTATCCATCCAGATTTTGTCTGCTGTAAGCATTTTGCTCTTCCCTAAAAAGTCTAAGGCTTCCTTCCCTCTGTGATTCTGTATATGCTGTTTCTCTCGCCTGGGATGCCTTCCTCAAGTTCCTTCATCCCCCATGCCACCCTTTTCTTTGAGTACAAAGTACTCTTAATACTCCTCTCAATATGTTCAATTTTAAAAGACTTTGTGGACCTCTGCAGGTAAAGGTTATGCCCTTGTCTCATGAAGCCCTTTTAGGACCATATGTATATATTTTTTTATTATAGCACCTATCACATTGCTTGGCCATGTCAAAGGCAGTACTATGTTCCTTTGTCTTTTGAGTCCTCAGAGTTTAGCAGTCTGCCTAATACCTAGTTGTTGTTGAGTAAATATTGAATATTAGTTACAATGTAACTACTACTAAGGATATATTAGGCTGCATTAATAGCAACACAGTCCTTAACATTTTTAGTTCTGGCCACCACATATACAGATAGATGTTGCGGAAGTATAGCATCTCCCTGACAATGTACGGTTTACTAACACTGTGATGGCCTTAACAAGAAAAGACTAACAGGGTGCACAGCTCCCTCAGAATCTCTGAAGGGCTAAAGAGGAAGCAGCTGACAACAAACTAGTGAGTTTCCCCATGAGACCAGAGGTTCTCCACAACAGTGTTCGGTCATCTTGGTTTGTCTTCATCAGTGCTGAAAGGTATTGTAGCTTATTTGTGCTAATAAAAGTTAAAGTACTGAAATTTGAAAACAATTTACTTTTCCCCCCTCCTAAACTAGACTGGATTCGAGGTTACTTCTACAAAGTCACTCCTGCCCACTTCTATTCCAATATACTTTGTTGAGATAGGGGTACAACTGATGGGTCCGGAAACTGGGCATAAGTCACAGTTTACCTTATCTTTACTTCCCTCCCCCGGAAGAATGCTAAACATGTGAATATTATCTATTGTGTGGTTGGGGGGATACAGAGAACTGCCCTACTAGATTATGAGCTTCTCTAGGGTAGGGACCATGACTTTTCATTTTGTGTCTACCCATAGTGTCTGGGTGGAAGAAAATGTGACAAAAACTTTTAAAAAGGACTGAAGGAAAGAGAAAAAGCAAAGGAATAAAGGAGGTTTATCATTTACTTTCTTAGAAACTGTTAACTGAATTCCATTTTTAACTCAGCATAAGAAACAAACAAACAAAAACAGCAATAAAAGCTGCTTAGGGACTTCCCTGGTGACGCAGTGGTTAAGAAAAGAATCCGCCTGCCAATGCAGGGCATACGGGTTCGAGCTCTGATCCAGGAAGATCCCACATGCTGCAAAGCAACTAAGCCCGTCCGCCACAGCTACTGCGCCTGCGCTCTAGAGCCCGCGAGCCACAACTATTGAGCCCTCCGGCCATGACTGCTGAAGCCCGTGCGCCCAGAGCCCGTGCTCCATAGCAGGAGAAGCCACCGCAATGAGAAGCACTTGCGCCGCGGCGGGGAGTGGCCCCCCACTCGCCGCAGCTGGAGAGAGCCTGCGCGCAGCAAGGAAGACCCAACACAGCCCCAAAATAAATAAATGTAAAAAAAAAAAGCTGCAGAAACTCACATTACAAACAGTAAAGGTGAAGAAACAACAGAGCAAAAATTACAACAGTAACCACTGCCTACCCCCCAAATATCTCAGTAATCAAAGATTTCTTAACTTTTTGGCTCTTCAAAATATGTGCAGTCCATAATACAGTAGGAACTGATTATCTATACAAGGCTAGTTGTAATGTCCTCTGATTATCTGATGTAATTCTAAGCTCAAAGGCTTTTGCCTCTCCTGCAGTACCTTGCTTGGAACAAAGCTGTGCTTAATGCATATTACTTTTATTTCATAAATATAAAGTATATAAAAACCAGAAGAGTTGAGTAACTTTCACTTGGAAGGAAAAAGGTAACATTTTTAGTCTTTTTCTTTTTTATATTATTTTCATGAAGAGTCTAACTTTTTGCCCATTGACACCTGTCCAAATGCTATGACACTGCAAAACTGAGATCACAAACTTTTTTTGGACACTTGATTTTGCCCATGTTAAAGGAATATAATTGATAACACACTCACTTAAAATTCTATTACAAATAAGCATACTTTCTCTACTCCCCCTGTGATATGCCATGATCCCACCTGTATAGACTAACTTTTACTGAAAGTACAATAAATATTTGTCGATTGATTTGGTTGATGCAACTGTAAGCCTTGTTTTCAGTTCAAAGTCTACATTTTACTGGTAATCTAAAAATATTAATTCCTATACATCCAAATGTCTAGGTAGCATCCTGCTTCCCGAACACACACACATTCACCCTTAACCCCAACCTGCTCCTTCCTCAGAGCTTGTTGTGGGGAGAGCATTGCAGGAGGGCATCCAGCAGGAGGAAAGACCAACATCTCTCGCTTCTTGAGCTGTCGAGGTGCCCAATAGCAACTTAGTGGCTCAAAGTAAAAAAGAGCAGCGCGGATGGCAGGTGGGGTGGAGGAAAAGGAAACTTCATCAAAGATGCAAGTGACAACTCCCAGGGGCTTATAGATTCCATCCGAACAGGAAAAATGAAAAGGTTAGAAAACAGTGGCAGGGTAGTGTCAACAGCCATGTTTCAATTCACGCTGCACTGATAACAAGCCACATATCTGCCTTACCCAAGCAACTTCCCCAGTGCCCATCTCCCCACCTTGGAATAGGAAGGGGAGCGGGTCCCCACGACTCCGGAGTAATAATTAGGGGAGACCACTGCCTGTAGAGACTCCGCCAGAGGAAAGGAGCCGAGGGGCTGCGGCCCTTCTCTGCAATCCAGGAAGCCCCCTCCCGCGCGCAGGTGGGCGGGCGCCCGATGCCGCAAGGATGCAGGGCATGGAGCGAGGTCCCGGGGCCCCTCCCAGAGACCCCCGCCAGCCCCGCCAGGGGGAGCGTCTGCGCCCGACGGCCGGCTGCGGGGACACGGCGGACGGCACAGGGCGGTGGCTCGGCTACGCGGCTCCCCTCCCGCGTCCCCACCCTCTCCCCGCCCGCCCCCGGCGCGGCCCTGCCCGCCCCCTCCGCCCCCTCCCGCGGCGCCATGCGCAGACTCAGTTCCTGGAGAAAGATGGCGACAGCCGAGAAGCAGAAACACGACGGGCGGGTGAAGATCGGCCACTACATCCTGGGAGACACTCTGGGGGTCGGGACGTTCGGCAAAGTGAAGGGTGAGGACCTCCGGGGCAAGGCTCGGCCCCAGCCCGGGATCCGAGTGACTTCCGCCTTTCGCACCTCTTCATCCTCTCCCGCCCCTTGCGTTCCTCGTTCCCTGGGCTCGGCAGTCCCTGTCCAGGCTCCGGCCAGAGTAGAGCCGGAGGCCACGGCGGGACTGCGGAGCGGCGCCCCCTGGGAGGGCGGGGGTGGGGTGGGGACTGGTCGCCATGGCGACGGTGCGACGGCCTGAGGGGCTCGTCCGTGCGAGGGGCGGGGATGCAGAGGTGCGAACTTTCCCAGGCCTGACGGTCGGGGGCTGCACTACTCGCTCCCTTAGCTGGGTGGGGGCGCCGGGGTCTTGGCCGGGAACCCTGGAGAGGCGGCCCGCCGTTCGTCCCAGCTGTGATCCCTCGGCTCAGGGCCAGCCCATCGGTTCCCTGGCGGTCCTCGGCATTGTCCATATTTCCGTCCTCTTCAGAAGGCTGTTGACTTACCTGCCCTGGCTGGTTCTCAAGTGTGAAATGTGTTCCCCCGAAGTAAGGTTGCTTTGGGGAATAGTTTACAGAGTTAAAAAAAAAAAAAAAAGGCCATTTTGTCGGAAAGGATCACTAATTTTTTTCGGAACAGTTAATGAATATAAACTGGTCCTACATGTATTTGCGATCCTTGGTTTATGGTCTGAATGCAGACGCCGTGCCTTCAGTGTTTCTGAATTACCAAACCTGGTAGGCAGTGCAGATTTTGCTTCCAGATAGTGTTTATTAATTCACTGATGCAGTTAGTTTCCGTTTATGTTCACAGGATATTTATATTTTAATTAATAGTTTTATGTACATTACTTGAAAAAAAATTTTTTTTAAAGAAAAGTGGAATCGCTTACCCTTGTGTTTCAATACAGTATTCCGGAAATAACAAACTTGCTCTCCAGTCCACCAATGTTGGCACAAAAAGTTTAACTGCAAATTTTGTGAGGCATAAATATTTTTTCCTTCAAAATATTTGACTTTATTATTAGGGATGTAGAGGAAGGAAGTATGGAACTGATAAAAATAATTCATGCATTGGCTTTGGATAGATAGCCTGTGACTTGAATATACTAAGCTCTTGGTAAATATTTGACTTGAAAGAGAAAAAAGTTTGTGAAAGTCTGTACAGTGAATTAACTAACTGAGCCTTGCTCTATCGGAGCTAAATAAACATTTTCTGATTTTATCTAGGGATGGAAGAGGAGAGCCCTTCCTTCTCTTGCTCTTTCTGAGTCATAGAACTGGAAAATTGCTGTATAGCCCACAGGGAAGCAACTGCCTAACCTTCTTAAGAAAATCAGCAAGGCCAACAATGTAAGAAAGTAAGAAGCAAATGCCAGAATAGGGTAATAACAGCCATTAGGGTGGGTCTGTATTAGGCCAGTAAGATGTTTCTGTGCTTCTGAAGTTACTTATTTTTGGTGATGTTGTCTCTTTACTTGTTAGCAATTACAAACTTTCAGTTTATAAGTATTTGTAAGAAATACTCATTAATGCCACCCAAATAGTAATAATAGTTTTGATGCCTTCACCCCTCCCAGAGTTCTGTTTGGATTAGGATACTCATTGTTTTCCTAATATAGACCTGAGCAGAGTCAGGTCTCACTTTCTTATTGGCTAGGTGGCTTTTGGCATGGCAGATAGGAAAGCAAGAGGATATTTCTCATTTCCTGGGTTTGATCTGTGATGTGGCTGTGCCTTGAATCCCTCCAGTGACTGCTATTCCTTAACCTTCGCTCCTCCATATGTGCTTCTCTTGAAATACCACACACTGTCAAAGTCAACAATCTCTCCAAATATAAAAAGGCCAGTATTAGTCAAAGGATCATAAGTTTTATAGATATGGTTCATTTGTTAATAAATACATTAATTGATGGTGGTCAAAATCTTCAACCAGTGCATTTTTTTTTTTTTTTTTTTTTTTTG